TTCTAAAAATGTAGCGCAAGTGTCTATGAATTATATTTAAAAGAAATTTCTTAAAAATATTGATTAGAACAAAAGTTATTTCATTTGTCAGAATGTTAGATGTCTGTGGGACACCCAGTATACCGACAGTGTAAAAATATTTAAATGTTATWCAATATGGATTTTACCTGTGAGATGTTATTACTTATTCAAATAGTATCATTATAAAAAAACAGATTTTTTTTCCCATGAACCAAATTAAATCAAAATACTTATAAAGAGTGCAACTGGATTTCCAAAAATATAATTTCTTCATAAACATTCGGAAACTTAAAAAAAAATTAATTTATATAGGAACGTAAAATTGTTTGTAATTAATAATAAATGAAAATGTAATAGTTAATAGTTATCATATGTTAAGGGTGTCAGAGAATATTATTTTTAGATACATTGCAATGYAACCCCATACAATATATTATATAGAAGTTCAGAAGAAACAAAACAAAAAATATTTCTCAACAATTTAAAATTAGTCAAGAGAAAAAAAATGCAAGAGTTATTTATATTTTAAAGGCATTGAAATGTCGGACTTTCATAATTTTTTTTTTTTACAATAGGTTATTTCTTATAATAGCTTAAAAATATTAAAAATACTTAAGCATTTATAAATGTTTATAGGAACTAAAATAATTCACTTAATATAATGAACATTTCAAAATCAAATTTTGACAAAACTATTTACACATTGAAATAAAAAGTTACAATGACTAAAGTATTAAATTCAAATTTAATTCACTTAATGGCGAGGTAGACTCAATAAATACCATGCATTAGAAGAAGTTCAAGTTTTTTAAATTTAAAAATTTTAATTCAAAATTAGCTTAAAATACCAAAACGGTAAATACATTTTATAATACTCAATAATATGTGATGTTTATTACAACTTCTGTAAATAATTTTTCAAATCTCTATCCAATGCTATTTGCATAAAGCTTAATGTTTTATTAGTTATGAACAATTTTCTCATTGGACAAAAATTTGTAAACTCTAACACCTTTAAGTGAAAATCATTAAACATTGATCGCTATAAAAAWTTTTTTAAAAATTAGATTCCAAAAATTATCAAAAAATGTTTTAARAAGCAAATTGTTTTACAATGAATATTTTTTGAGTCTGTTTGAAGATGTCAACTGGTTCATTAATAGATATTGTATTTTATTACCAGAATTTTAGACATTTGAAAATTTGAAAAAAAAAAAAATGAATTTGTTGAAACAATGAAAGCATGTAATATAAAATTATACAACAACCTAAAACTGTACCATACCCACAATTTAAATTTGAATATGATGTTACTATTCTCCAGTGTTGGGTAAATTACTTTTAAAAAGTAATAAAGTTACTTTACTCGTTACTTAGAGAGAAATATTATAAAGTTACTTTATTCGTTACTCTAATAAAATTGTAATGAAATTACTTTACTTTTAAAATTGAAAAGTAACTCATTACTTTCTAGTTACAAAAAAAAAAAAATTTTTTTACATTTCTTAACAATATTATCATTGTGCCTGGCAATAATGTTACTAGAAATACATTATGTATAGTAAATAGATATAATTTGAAAAAGAAATCAATATACTATAATCAATATAATACAATATTATTATTTTATATTTATTTATATTTTAAATTAACTTTACACAATAGTGTATCTTAAAGATTTTTCACTCATACGTGACCTTTTTTAGAACAAATGTCCCTTGAACACTAAATAACCGCTCTACAGAAGCATTGGATGGTAAAGCTGTGTCGTATTTAATAAAAAYATTCTTTAATAATGTCATTGAATTCAAAATTGTAAGATCATCTGTATAAGAGCTTTAATAAATATATATAGTATATTACTAGACTAGATTGGTAAACATAATAATACCCGCATTATAGACATATTTTTTTTTTCAATTCGCAAAAGGTAGGTACTTAATAATTCGAAACTGTAACGCGTTATTCAATAGAAATTACTTATCAAAAGTATTTTCCAATACATTTTTGTAACTGGAAATAATTCWAATGAAATTATGTAACGCGTTACAAGCAAAGTAACGCTGTTACAATAACACATTACTTTCGTTACGTTACTACCCAACACTGCTATCTCAAATAATATTTCAAAATGTAAGTTAATAAAAACTACATAAATAATAGTAAATACTGTTCTGTCAGAATGGGGGTTTGAAGAGTTGAAAATAATTTCCAATGATGTTACTAATTACTTTATSTAAAATATCAATTTTTACTTTCAAAAAGAAATGTGTATTGAAATTAATAATAATTTGCCCCCTCTCAAACCCTKTGTAATTGCTCTTATTTAGGTTGGGGCGGGATATAAAAACAGTTTGCTGTTATAAAATAATCCAAGGCCAATAGGCCAGTGACAGATCGACCATGTAAAGTTTATTGGCTTGTGCTACTGTTACGGACATTAGAAGTGGAGGACCTTGAATAAAAATCATATACATAGATAATAGTGTTGTTTAAATGCATGAGAAAACAGTTCCTGATAAGACTAGATAATACTATATTAGAAAAAATAACAAAGGTATAATATTGTCACTAAAACTCATATGCCCATATATAATAATTCATTCCTCTCTAATAAATAATATACATTAAAATGTTTAACTTTTCCTGTATAGAATACTAACCAGCTGATTTGTTGAGATCAAATATTCTGAGCAATTTTTCATTGGAGCCAGTTGCAAGGAAAACGCTGTCTCTTGAGAAATTTACACTTTTTACAATGTGTTTATGTTGAAAAGA